AAACCCCAGGCTACCACACACAACACTCATGCAGGCAGATTTGGGAGATCATTCTTCCTTTGCGCTTGTAAACAACATAGATTATAAAGGCCTCAAATACACAAAGGTCTGCGATGCACACACACACTCTGCAATCTCACACAGGGATGAGGAGGTCTGTTCTGCCTCTGGGGTGGCAGAGCAAGGAGTGGGGCCTTCCGGGTTGCTGGTCACTGTTCAATGCCACTGAGGCCCAGGAGAAGCCCAGGCCTTGAGATGAGGTACCGAAGGGGCTTTGTGGGCCCTTTCCGTGTGGCCCCATCACAGCTGAGCTCTGCAAGGGCTTCTTGCAACCACAGGTCACCCTTTGGTACCACACCCTGTAATGACCCACTTGTCCCCAAATGTCCCTCAGCCTGCCAGTCACCAGGAGCAAGGTGTCTGGCCAGGCCCTTCCTGGAGATGTGAGCCCCAGAGTGGCTCATTACAGGCAGGCACAGGACAGGTTGGGTCCAGAACCCCTGCCTTCCACCTTCTCTGGCTTCCAAAGGTAACATGGCATGGAACTCGTTGTGCCTGGGGGCAGGTAGACAGAGGGTAGAAAGGCCATCTATAGGTAAGAGAAGGAAGAGGGCCTGTTTTGTAGGAAATGAAAGAGGGCCAGGTATATAGAGGGGAAGTTGCCAATAAATAAAATTTTCTGGCTTTCTTACACATCAGAAGTTGAAACTCATGGCATCCAGTGTAAATTTTTGGGTGCCTCCAATTGTTCAGGGAGCTACAAGAGACTTTGTCCTGTCTTATATCTCTTGTGACATCCTGGGTTTGCAGGTGACAGCCTTGGTGCTAAGTGTCTTCTGAGAACAATGACTCTGCTGGCAAATGGGGGGGACGCTGGGAGAGTGGATGGGAATGGAGCCTTCCATTTGGTCTTTTTGTTATTATAAACAAAAGGGAAAAGAAGAGAAAGGGAGGTGGGCGCCATTGCTCATGGCCGCTCAGGTGTGACACGTGGGCCGAGGGGGCGATCTGGTGGGAAGGAAAACCTTGGGAGCTGCTTCATGTGGGGGAGAAGACGGCCTGCTGCTGCTCGGTAGTTGTTTGTAGATTGTCTCCTGAGGGCTGTTACTGAACTCTGAAAATAGGGGCGCCAGTAAGAGAAGGAAGATCACACAGCACAGTGGTCCTGCTCAGAGAGGCAGCCCCAAGGCCCACCGGAAGGACCCAGGAGAGGGCTCGAGAGAAGGAGGTTGTTCCCATATTGTATGAGGTAGGAGCTGGGCAGGTGAAAGGAGAAAAACTATATCGAGGGTCTGGCTGAGGCAAAGGCAAAGAGCGGCTGTGTGTGGGAGGGTAAGGGAATAGGAAACAAGGTGCTTCCAGCTCCAGGACCCAGTATGGAGTAGCACATGGGGAGAGAAGATCAAAGGGTGTATGGTTGGGCACCCCAAGATGGATAGGAAGCGCTATGGGACCCCCAATTTGAGGTCCTGGACCAATCTGGGTGCTATCTGCCCTTCAAACAGGGAGAATGGTATTGTTCTATGGAGAGCCGACAGAAAGCTGAAGACTGTTTTGCAGCAGGGAGAGAGCATGGGCTTCAGTGTCCTCGCAGCATGATCAGGAACAGGGTACTCGCGTGGGGAGGGATGGGGTGATCCGGCTTTAGTGGGGTGGTGAGAGGTGCTTGATAGAGAGCCGGGGCAGGGGATGAGGGGTGTAGGCTCTGAGGTTCAGATCTCAGGAGGGAATGGGGGCTTTGGTCAGGGCTGGAGAAAGAAGGAAGAGAAAGGCTGAACCGACAACAGGGGTCCTGTGACTCCTTTAGGTGACACTGATTTCGTGGTCAGGAAGTCATGTGGTGAGCGGGCACGGAGAGAGTAGACACCTTTTCAGTGGGTGCGGGCCGTGGGTGTCTACTGAGGTGACTGCTGTCAGACCAGGCGTCATCATCTGCCTCGTGCCCTGGGGAGTCCCTAGGCCTCATTCGAGTCATTGCTCGTGAGGCCTGGCTTGCAGCTGGTGTCTGGCCAGTCAAGGTGTGGACAAGGCCAAAGTACAGTGAGGCAAGCATGGCCAAATTGTAAATTCGAGAAGATTATTATGAATATAATCAATACGTGCTTTATTAGGAAGATCCTTCTATGAAGAGGATAAGGAGCAGGTCTAGGGAACTGTAGAATATGACAGGGCCCTCACCTGTCATCTCATGTCTTGAATAGACAAAGATATTAGAAGCATCTGGAAGGTATACACAGTATTCAGCTTCTATCATGGCCTAAGTATTTTCTCGTGCTCTTTTCAGAATGTCTACTTCCATCTGCATTTAAATAACAACTTGACTTGAGATATATATATATATATATATATATATATATATATATATATATATATAATTTAGAAGGAAGAACAATTAGTCGTGGTATGTTTTATAGTGAATAACTGCTGTTTTGGAGGGAATATAGACAGATGAAAAATTTTACTAAGTATTTTATCGTACTTTTCTGCTGGGTGGTTAAGAACAAGTTAAAACAAGACCTGTGTTGATTAATCTTGAGCTCTTGCTGCCTACCAGGGTCAGGTGAGCCACGCTCACCATTACTCTTGGAACACTGTCTAGCACATCTCACTTCCTCCGTCAGCATCAGCTGCCAGAATGGGTCAAACTCTTGCGGGACAGCCCTTTCCTGTGGTCGGCCTCCTTAGGCATGCTGCACAACTTTGCTGATCCCTGTCTCCTGGGGTCCATCAGTGTCGTGGATTCCTAACTGACTGTCAACTTTTTACACTCAGCTGAATTAAACTAGCGTGGTGCTGGGTGCAGGGGGCCCACCTGAGGGCTGCTGCAGCAGCACAGAAGGCAGAACGGGGAAGACCCTGAAATGCTGCTAGGGATGCTGTTGGAGAAGCTGTTGGGGCTGTTGGAAGCTCATGGAGCTTTTGAAGGCTGCTCGTTCTCTTGGCCTCTTCTGCTGGAGGGCCTTGTCATGCTGGTTTCCCCAATGAACTTTGGAGGAGCTCTGGTCCTCAGCTTGAACATTGCTTCCTGGTTCCATAGGGGAAGATGGTGCGCTGCTCAGCCTCATGGAGAAGCTTGTTGCATTTGTTTTCCTGATGGGAACTCGGCTTTCCTCACTGCTGGAGGAGCTCAGGACCTCACTGCTGCTGAGGATGGCTGTGGTTCTTTTGGGGGAGCGCAGGTGCTTTGTCTGAGCGTTGCTTCCTGGCTCCAGTTCAGATCCCTCAGCCTGCTTGCACAGATCCTTCATCCACTCACACAGTTTCCAGCTTCCCTCACCGACCTTAGGGCCCTTCCAGCACAGTAAAGCAGAGCTGCATGAGACATCATCGTGGGCTCTGGGCTTCCAGTTAGACTTCTGAGAGGCTTTATTATGAGCTCTAGGTTTTCATCTGGACTCATGCAGGATAGTAGGATGCAGGCCCTCAGCTGGAGTCTTTAGAATTCAGTGTGTGGACAGATTTCCTGCACTCTTGTATATGATTCTTGGGTGATTTCCTATAAACTAATGTTATAAAATGTGTCCTGTATTATATTTTTCACCTTGCAAAAACCTCAAACCATGACAAGCAGTCTCCCCACTTAGGAGAATGAGTAACCCGGCAGAGTTGAAGGATCTTGTTAAAAAAAAAAAAAAAAGGTTCTCTCTTATCCTGGGTCTCTGCTGCCCTTT